TACTTTAAATTTAAACTATTAACATGAATTAATCAGAAATACATTTCATTATTTTATATTAATCAAAAATAATTCACGAGTATAATAAGAGTTATTATTCGAATAAAGATATAAATCATAAATCAATCGTTTATAAAAATTAATTTTATAAGCTGTTTTTATTTAAAATTTTAAGGAATGTAATTCAATATTATTTGAATATTACTTACTATCCTTGTCTTTGTGCCTAATATAAAGATACACATAATTTAAAAATATTTCATATTATTATCAGTTTTGATAATTAATATGCGGATTGCAAGCTAATTTAACAGAATTTTATTTTTTTAGGCCGAATAAGTTGTCAATGGTTCATTCTATTTTTCATTTATATGAACATTTAAATTTATAAACTTCGTATAGTTGAAATGTATATTTTAAAAGGGAAACTTAGAAAGTTTCGAATTATTTACAAACTATTCAACGCTATATTCGATAATATTTAGAACTAACATTCATACGTTAGACGATCATACGTTTAGGCTATATTATACAATAAATAATAAATTAATAAATTATAAAATAAGCTTGTAGTTTAAATATTAAGAGAATCGTTTTTTCTTTTTTTTTTTTTTTTTTTTTTTTTTTTTGTAATGTAAATTAATAGTGGAGTAGTTTTTAAATAAAAGTAGAGATTTATCGATTATCGCATATTTAAATTTAATTATTTATGTAAGAACAAATAACGATTTATTTTAGCCGAGATGATGAATATGAAATTTGATAACTTAATAATTAATTCTGTTATTTTAATATTTTTTTTATACCATCTTACCTGCATCACCTCGGACTAAAAGGATAATATATTGCAAATCACGTCACTTTATCGAAATGAACGTTATGGATAATTTGAGTTCACTATCTACCGAATAAATTGTAAATTAACTTCAAATCGAAATTAATTAATTTGTCGATTTTTCTAATATCATAATGGATCATATTAATGTTAATAGTTTTAGAAAGAAATATAGTAAGATTTTATAACAATATATTTCCCTTGTAATTAGATGACTAATTAGAAATTTACTTGAAAAATTTAACTATCATATACTTTTCCATCATATAATAGATAATTACACAAAATTATATTGACAATTATATAAATTACAAAATATGCATCATCAATAATATAGCAAAGAATTTATTGTTTGACATTAATTCAAGGATTTTTCAGCGCCGATTTCACCGACTTTCCGATAAGATGCGCAGATCGATTAATCCTCTCGCCTTAATTCTACATGACCGAAGATCATTTACTCTTCGCTGTACGAGCAAAATACGACGTTATGATCAATGATGTTTAGCTTAGGCGTATAGTGGGTCGCGACATGCAGGCGCATTCCGGGATATATCTCCACCAGGATATACAAAAGAAATTCTCCCGATAATTGCACTTAGGCTCTCACCTATTACGTTCTTATTTCGACAACGCGTGAGGCAACGTTCGATCCACCTTGTACACATCGATCACTACTCCGACTACTCTGTGTGCATACATTTTATCGCATTTACCCCACACATATAGCACTTTTGTCGGCTACTTTTCCAACTTTGAGAGATCATATTGGAGTAAAAGAAAATATTACCTGTTTAAGTTTAACTCGAATAATATACTGAGTAAACTAGATTTACTATTCTCTAAAGAATATTAAAATAAATGGATGATTATTTATTATTATTATTATTATTATTATTATTATTATTATTATTATTATAATAATTATTATTAATCTGTGAGTATATATCGTTATGCTGAGATATTTCGAAAAGAAAATTTTTGCGACGTCTTGCGTCGCCACGAATATTTAATGCTAATGAAAGTGACCATTGAAATTATTTTTTTTATAATAAAATACGGTATAATAAAAATTGAGAATAATTGTTTTATATTGTATTTGTAGATTTTTTAAATGAAAAAGTTAATGTGAAGGAAAAATTCTCTTTGAAAATGGGGATAAAATAAATGTGAAAATTCTTTATTAAATCAAATTAAAGATGTAAACAATTAATGTAAATGAAAATGGAAAAAGAATGAATAAGAATGATTATGGATTAATATGAATTAACTTAATGTATGAAAGAGAAGCAAAAATCAAGACGATTTTTAAGGGTATAAATAATATTTTGATATAAAAATACGAGTCAAACTGTGTTTTCAAAATAAATACTAAATGTAAAATAACATAAATACTAATTTAATACAAACAAGAAAGAAAAAACAATATTTTCGCATTACATATGACTGACAATTGAAAAACTATTGAATATATAGTCTATTTAAAAAGTGGAAAATCTATTTCCCTAACTTGTTAAAAAATTATTATTTTAAATAAATTAGAAAGTTTATTTCTCTGAATTTTGGTTTTGAAGAAGTACGTATGTCATTATGAAATTAAAAATTAATCAAGTTACAGGAATCGTCAGGCTGATTACTGAATTAATTATGACGGAAGTCAGCTAGGTTGAAAATCCATAAGTTTATAAATATTATACGGGTTAATTAAATAATGTTAATGGATATTTTGCACAATTTTCAGAAAGTAGACAAATAAATATATGTATACAATGTAAAGCAAATGATGACAAGCGATAAAGTCCTTTTACTTAATTCATTTAAGAGAACAATAGTGTGCAACGAGCATTCTTACAAAGTCAATATAAATCAATAGATTAAAATAAGACAAGGCGATAGTATTTTTTATTTTTTTATATTATTTATCATTGTTATTTACTTACTGTGTACAAAGTTATCTAGAGATATGCTCACGCGAATATCATGTTGACACATGTATATAGCGCGAATGAAATATTGGAAAACAATCAGTAACGCGTGCTCTTATATAGGGTCGTTAGTAAAGCTAAATTTGCACGTGTTAGTTTATACGAGAGGGGGATAGTCCTCTCTTTCTTTCCTCTCTCTCTCTCTCTCTCTCTCTCTCTCTCACTCTGTGCCATCTGAACGTGTGTGTTTTTGTGTGCGATCACTCGAATTGCAAGCATGCGTGCATGCGATATAACGAAGTGTTTTACGGAATTGAATATGCATTTACTTAAGGATATGTGTGTGTGTGTGTGTGTGTGTGTGTGTGTGTGCCTGTGTGTACGATATATGAGAACTTGACATTGAACACTGTGGACTTACTTCATAGTTCAGAATTGTTGTACTAACTGTTAGGCATAACAGGCAACGAAATATGATATCCCACATGTATGTAAACAGAGGAAATATAAAATGGGATGAGCAAGGTAGCGCCAACGATTCGGTGACTTAAAAAATAAGTAGTTTGATGAATAAATATTAATGAAAATGTAAAATCAAAGGCGATGAGACGCACGGTCAGTGGGTTGCGGGGGAGGGAGGGTGTCAGTGGCGGCGGTTAGCGGGCAGGGGTAGGGGATAAAATGGAGCGCGTACCAGGTAATGAAGCTAAAGACAGATACTAAGAAAAAAATTAACGCAATGAACAAACAAATATGTAAGTATTCATATTTAAATATATATATTTATACATAATAGAACATTAGGTATATCGACATAGTACACTTGCGTATTAGCAAAAAAAAAAAAAAAAAAAAAAAAAAAAAAAAAAAAGTATAGAATTGCTCATTTAGGCATATATAATGGGGGAAAGAAAGAAAAAAAATTATTAACCTTTGGTTCGTGAAAATTATAATTAGAATAAAAGATTTCAAATATGGATGTTAATTAATGTTTTTAGCCACGTCTTACCACATTATTCCAAACGAAGGCTGACGGTTATTTCTTCGTATAAAATGTATAATATACGCATATGTGTATTCAGTATACGATTATCATATATCGTGTGTGTGTGTGTGTGTGTGTGTGTGTGCGTGTGTGTGTGCGTGAGGGCGCTCACATGGAATACGCATAGTACAGGTGAAGGCATTAATGCGCTGAGAGATTATTATTATACATCGATATATTAATGTATGTGTAGAGGCTTATTTAGAAACACACACGAGGGCATAGAGGCATGTAATTTAATGTATGCGAGGGAACACATTATCGAAGTGGCGCGTGGGGTGAGTTGTTCGGGAGGGGGAGGGCGAAGGGTGGAAGGGAAGGCTGATAATAAAAGGCGAGTCGATAAAACTGATAATTTGGAGGGAAAAAAAATGGTAAAGAGAAGGACACGAGGTTGAGAACACGTATCGTTGAGAGACGAGAGGGTCCGATCCCTAACCGTTGAAAATTTGTTGAAAGAAGAAAAAAAAAAAAGCCGCGGCGGGAAGGGGATGGGAGGGCCCAGGGGGTGGTAAAGCCACAATGAGCGTGAAAGAGCGCAGCTCGCGAGGCTTAAATATAGTAGTTGCGTCGGAGCTGTCAGGCCGGAAAGGGATCTCGGCGACGAAGACGGGCGTCCGCGGCTGCCTCCCCGTCCGCCAACTGGGGGTGCGAGTGCGGTTCGTGCTCGCGGGCGCAGGCGCAAGCTCGCTGTAACCCTTGGACACCGATCGAGGCCCTATCGGCCGGGGACGATCGCCCAACGGTTGCGTCGTCGTGGACTCAGAAAGCTCCGAGGAGCGAGTCGAGCCGGAAGTGCGCGCCCGCTCGTATCGCGCGAGCCGGAAGGAGGAGCCAAGGCCCAATTACGGCCGTGTCGGCCCCTTAATGTGGACAATTCTGCTGGTGAGCCTGATCGTAAAGACGATATTGAGGCGGCACCGGCCCCTCGATCGCGCCAACGCCGAGGGGATGAGGTTCGCGGCCGGGCGCGCCCCCGTAGGCCACCGGACCAAGAATCACGGTTGAGGGAGCGCGATGACGGCCCGACCCGAGAGCTCCTCGTGAGTGAGGACCGTAGGCCCCGGGACGCGCGCCCCCCGAGTAGTGCGGGTCCGGCACTGGCGCGGCCGCCCTCCCGCTCGGGCCCCATCCGCCTGACATGTGAGCATTAAATGGCCGTGGAAGGACCGAGTCGGCCAGCCGACGACCTACTATGGGCATCTGCCTGGACACTGGTGAGTCTCGCGGGAGGACGCGCTCTTCCTATTTATTTGGCGGCTAGCCTTGTCGCTTCGATGAGTTTCGCGTGTCATGTTTCGCTGCTAGATCGATATTATCGAGGCGTTAATGACGAGCCGTGCCAGCCATTTTTCCATCATGACCGAATCAATGATAATGGATGCGATACGTGAGATTGTTGGTTGGCGATGGGATTTTCGTGGGGCGCGAGAGCCCGGCGTTTTCTTTGCATTTCTTAATAGTCAGTGAGATGAGCAGAAGCTTACCAAGCCATCGATCGACAAATTTCTTACGCGATTTCTTGCTAAGAGGAATTGGATGGGGAGGAGGAGGGCGAGGGATAGGAATAGGAATAGGAGGAACTGGTCGGGAAATTTTGGATGGCGCCATTTGGCTGGCTCGTATCGGCGGCGAACGTCGTCCGGCTCTCAGTTGGAATAAAAGACAATTGCAATCTCGACTACTTTGATTACTTTGCCCGACGGTTGCCATTTTAGGGTCCTTACATGTGTTTATAACAGTCAGATTATGTTAACGATCAGATTGACATTATGCTGCCAATGCAATAAGTAGCGAGTATTGGTGATTGTGCTGTTAAACGATTAATTATTAGCGGCTGATTCGAGTGTTCGATTATTTTAAAATGAAAGATTTAACGATCTTCTTGCTATATTCGGTCTTCTCCATTTTATTTAGCATACAAACTTTATAAAATTTGAAGTACTCGATGTAATCGAGCGATCTTTTTCAAACGCTAAAAATAACTTATTACATTGATTATGTTAATCTATATTATTAGTTAACTATAAACATTTCTTGACCAATGTGATGTTTAAGCAATGTTATAGTTTTAGTATCCTATGGCAAACTGAAAATTCTTTCGTCACATTGTGCGCGTTAAAACTGTCTCGATTATTGTCTTTGGAGTATGGGTTGGATTAGAGAGACGAAAGGTTTAAAGTAAAAGAGGAAAGCAAAATTTAATAATATCTGTTTAATAATTGGCCGGAAAACGAATAGTTCGTTGTTACAATAAAGAATGTCGAAGCAATAATTCAGGGATAAAGTATGGCGATTATGAAGAATGAGAAATTGATTTTACCACGTGGTCAAGAATAGGCTCGAACGTCATATTGCTGCTCAGTATTACAATAAATATTAAATTCTCTATATTTCGGATATTTAGGACATTTATAACGATGATAAATTATTAGTTAAAAATATGTTTTTGTATAAGCCGTTAAATTTTCCCAACGGACATGAATTACATTTTCGGTTGATGATTTTACTGTGGTAAATTTAGTGTATAATGCTTAGTTCCTAGTGTACTTAATATTATTGTTATTATATGTGTATCGTTTGTATGAGCCAGTAAACATAATTGGTATTGTATCGTATTGTACGTATGAAGTAATTTTAAAAATTTAAGGAAAATCAATGTGTCCATACAATTTTAAACAGAAAAGCAATAAACATTAAAAATTGAATATTTAATGTTTATATTCGAATAAATAAGCAAGTGAACGTGTATTAGCCGATGCACTTGGTTTAATCTCCCGTAAAATCACGGATTGTCGATATCATGTACACTTGGTACAACTTAGAAATACTAACTTTCGATTTTCAAAAAAAAAGTTTACGATTCTACTACGCGTTACCAATACCATAATATAAACTATATAATAAAAACGTAAAACACAAGATAATATAGGGAAGTATAGATATGTATCTGTATATACATTCTTAATTAATATATCTTATGCGAAATATTCAATGTTAAATATTTTGATCATAACAAATATTACGTCTTTGTGTACCAATGATAATATTATTTGAACGATTACGCAAATAAACATAATAAACATATATATATATATATATATATATATATATATATATATATATTCATCCATCATTCATGGGTATTGTTTATATTATTAAATATTATTACGGATTAACAAGTGTAAAAGTAAATTAATTAATAAAAACATAAACTTTTTCTGTATATTCAATATTTTTAAACTTTATATACTATGTACGTTACGATATTGTAAATTTAGAATGTCTGATAAAAAAAAAGTATTTTCTTAGGAATATAATTCACGTTAAAAACAATACAGTCGAGTTTATGAGTATAATAAAGAATATAATATATTTGCATTTATTCAATGTTCGATGAAAGGTGTAATTAATTTAGGAAAAACTAAACAATAGAATTGTTATTTATGAAAGATTATAATTGATAAAATGAGGAAAAATCTGTCAATATAGTTAATCATATGTTTTTTAAGTAATTTCTTTTATTTGGATGTGCAGTAAATAATTATTCATAATATTTTTATATTTATATTTCTTTTTACATTTCAATGGTCTTTTTATCGTTTTAGTTGTGCATTTAAAGACTTTTAAAATTTTAAACGTTCACTGTACAAATTATCTACCTTCTAAATGTCAATAAAAAAGCAAAGCTTTAATTACATCTTATGAAGCAAGTAGAGTCATTTTAAATGACATTTCATATTAATTTATTACGTTAATATATTAAAAAGTTTAAAAAAAATCCCGTTACGAACAAATGGATTGAATTCTCTATGTCATTACTTTTCTCTCGTTGGAAAAATATATTATTAAAATTAATGTGTTTGTTCGCTTCATTAGAACTATATAAAGAACATATTGATATTTTCAAACATTAGTTTCTTGATTACCAATTACCGTAATAAGCCAGTAAGAGCACTAGGTAATTCCAACAAATACAGTAGCACATTTTAAGTAAGTAATATTAAGTCATTGCAACTAAAACAACAAACCGATACCGTTGTCAATAACAAACAACAAACAATACCGATCTTGACATAACCTTTGATAAAAAAATTTTTCATTCTTCCAATCGAGCAACTGGGCAGATTTTGAGATTTTGGCAGCCTTTGACATATTAAAATATTCCCTCCATTATTACACCGATTTACGACCTTTGGCATCGATTTTCTGCATTATATATTAATAATACTCAGTAAAAGAAAAACTTATTTCATAATCAAGTACATCTCTCTATTTTTAAAAATTGTAAAAATATTGTCACAATTTATTTATTTATTTATTTACAAATCTATGGATATATATATATATATATATATTTTTTTTTTTTTCATAAATAATTGAATCCAATAAAAAATTAAAACTTTATTCTTTATTGCCCGAGTAAACGTTATCGCTAGGATCTTATCGTGTCCTTGAAGCTTTAGCAGTGTTAGTTAAACTACGCTTAAACCACTCGCATCATCGCGTTCATATTTTCATTCAGGCTTTCAAATAATAGCAAAAGCAGTAAACTCGCGTGCGACCGTCCACCAGCGCTCGTAAGCCAATGTAAACAATGCAGGATGCAAAATAAAACTCCCCCGGTCGTGTCAATATAACAGAAAAAAAGAAACGATCCCGTGGCTCGAAAGACGCGCATGTTAAGCGAAATGAACAGCGGGCGAGTGGACTGTTAGGGGAAAAGCTTACGGCATTAACCGTCCGATCGCATGTAAAATTTGCTTCGATGCAGCTCGCGCGGTCGAAGTCGTATTGAACGCCCGTGGATCGCCGTCACCACAAGGTAAAGGTCGCGTGCCTCAGGCACTAGGACACATGAGTGCGGGCGAGACAATCGATGGATCGTCGATACGCCAACCGAGTTCCACCGACACACGGAGCGCGGGTGGTCTGGACGTGGAGGGATTGGATGGGAGAGGGGGGGGGGATGAGTACTATCGGGAGAAGCACACGCGAGCGTTGGCTGATGCCGACTTGAAGCATGGCGTCGATGAACTCTCGAGTTTACCGGTTAATGTTCCCGGGATCTCTCAGCCTTCTATGAGGTACGGTTTGAGCGCTATCGCGTGCTGATCATATCGCCGATGTCGTGCTGGGGTTGAGCTTTCAATATCGGGATTTCTCGCGGGGGGCTGATTTTTGTAATTGTGGAGATAACTTTGTCTGTGGTTGTCAATAGGGAGAATTAAATGGCGCGTTGTGGTATTTTTTTTAACGATTACCCGTTTCCTTAATGTAGCTAAGATTTTTTAATATTCGGTTACTAGGACTCGATGAATACATTGTCGAGATATTACAATTTTTTTTTTTTTTTTTTTTTTTTTTTTTTTTTTTTACACTTTTAGACATTGTTACAATAGGATTGCAATGAATCGCGGTAAAAGTATTGCTTCTTTTCCGACAAAGATTTATCATACATTTTTTCCGTTAGTATGAAATAATAAAAGTAATGCTGAAGACATGAATAAGTAAAAGATATTTTTTAATTACATTGACAGATCAATTATAACTTCGAAGCTATCGTTGATTATAGAACAAAAACAAATGTGAAACATTACGGATAATATAATAGCTATGAAATAAATACCCTACGTGACTCTGACTTCATAGTTTCAAGTTTTCTAATATTTTCGTTAGTTGGTGGCTATGATACATAGTACGATAGAATTTACTAATATTTTAGGATGCGACCACTTTTTTGACAACTTTATAAACAAAGCGTTCCATTAAAAATAAGCATCACTTCCTCTATCTAAATTTCGTTTTGTTTTTAAATTTAATGGATACATTATCAATTATCATTATAAATTATTGCAAAAAATTAAAGACTCTAAAGAATGAAAATAATTATTCCCTTTTTTTGTGTCAATAAGATGAATTGAAAAAATTATTCAACATTAACGACGATATTGTTATTACTAACCTGCTCCATTATCATAAATAAATTTCTTAATTAAATAAGCTCTCTTACTTTTTAAAGTACCCTAAAGGAGTTTCAATAGTAAAAAATATTTTAATAATTTGACAGATATTAAATATACGTAGTCATAATTAAAGAAAATTTGTATTATTATTGATTAAAAATTTTTTTTTTATTAAGGAATAAGACTTTTTACATAAGACTTATATAATGTAATATTGACTAGAGGACGTTAAAAACAGAACCGTTAAGCAT